TGTCTGGGAACGCATCACGAGAAAACTGGACAGATTTCGATGAAATTTGGTATGATGATAGCTCCGGGTGAACATATAGGATTTTTACTTTTTACTGCGGGAAAATATCTTATCTCGTAGAAATCTATGCTAAACGTTAAAACGTAACTAGGGAAGAACCCGAGCGGACTGAGGGTCGCTAGTTGACATATAAAAGAGTAGAATGATCTTAATTTAAATATGTTATTGCATGCATGCATGATTCCTCAATTCTTATATATTTTAAATCCTTATATGCATTTAAAAATAACATTTATCATAAATTTCTTAATCGATAAATTCTGATAACCAAATTGAACAGTGACAAAGTTTTTTTATTATTGATATTTAATTGTATCAAATTAGTACAGACTTTTTTATTTATTTTTTAAATATGTAAGAATCTCGTGATTAGAAGTAAAGATAAAAAAATCACTATACGTTTACTTTCTTTTAAATTCCACGTGTTTCTATGTCATGACGCCATCCAGATTATATTGTAATCTAAAGAGGTTTCACGCATCTAGTACATAGTCTTAGTTTTATCACATACATATGTAAGTAATAAAATACTTCTCATTGTTGTCCCGTCAAGCATTTAAGATGAGGAAGATTTAGTGAACGGTCGTCTCACTCTAAGTATGAACGCCAAGCGTATTGAAAAAAGTTTGGTGTTCTACCTTACAGTGAGCTGTGCGTTCTCTGACTTCAACAAGAAAAGAAAGAAGAAAGAAGAAGATAGGACAGAAGACATATTAATACCTCTTGTATAGGTAATTAAACCGAAAGGTTTATAACATTGTATTTTATTAGTTCGTAGCACCGCTACGCTATTTCGTAGCATTTAGTTGTTTGGAAAGCTACATGTATTAAGTACGCTGACATTGTACATGATGTTATATACTAACCATTTCTGCTTTAAGTTAATAATTACTATAATTATTTAGAAAATCGCAAACGTTAAAAAAATAGCTTAAAATTAAAGTTTACTTAAAGCTAACTTTTATAGGTACTTGTTTAAGTAAGCTTTATTATCCATTACTTTTATATTACTTATCATTATCTTTTTAATTAACATATCACACTTGTAGAATTATCTATCTATACATATAACAAAACTGCAGAGGTAACCTATCTGTACCTAGAAAAAAAATGCTAAAAACCGAATCAGGGCGATGTAAGAAGAGAAATATAACAAATTTAGATATTTTTCAATTTTTTTGTTTCTCTGCCTGTTATTCTATTTGTACGGGCTAATCTGAGAAACTGTTGGACCGATTTAAATAAAATTTTGCATGGTACCACCTTACATCTTCGACCAACATTTTAAATACTTTTCATCTCGGAAAAATGTACGAATGGGGGGGGTAGATTCGATTTTGTTTGTCGGTGTTAGGCGAACCCGAGCGAAGCGAGGGTGAGCCGCTTGTACATCAATATTAATCTACTAAGTGCTAAATCTGATCCCTCACACACTATTGTATTATATCACAATCAAATAGCTTTAGACGATCATCGTAGCAGTTTCGAATGTGCTTGGCCTATACTGTCTACGATGATTAATGACGTTAGATTTCCACACAAATCTTTGTATTCATTATTTGTTATAGGTTTAAATAGAATAAAAGGCAGTGTTGGAAACTGCAACCAAATGCGTTTTTTCTATATATTCTTTTATGTATATTATCTCGTAACTATTTATGTACTAAAAGTGAACCACCCTCAATATCTTTAATAAGTTTATAATATACCAGGATATACTTGATATTTATTATACTAATTTACAATTTTACCAGATTTAAGCTTTGATTTCTTATTATTGTAATACATAATATGATAGGTACGTATTTAAAAAAATAATAGTATAATTATTCCATTTACATTAATGGATGTAAAATATTGCGGTTACAATATTATTAAATAAATATTTTACATTGTATAGAAAGTATATTTTATGGTAATACCCCGGGAAATAGGAAACTATCCTAATTCGACCCTTTCGCCACAACACATTCTAAAGGGTAAGACGTAGTAAATTGAAAAGAGCTTTAGTAACCCCAAGCCTAAATCAATAATCTGGAAAGCCGTTAAAATTCTTGTATAAAATATTTACCCGAATGCATATTTTAAAGCAGAATTTTGCCTTTATGAAATATTCAATAAAGGTTGCATCAGTAAAATGATGTGGTAACAATGTAGCCGCGTTTTCCGCGCATTGATCTTCCGCTTTTCCAAGCTCCGGTCGTCTCGCGTCGGACCCAATGTAAATATTTTATTTACAAAGGCTCTAACGGCACAGACACAGACTTTATGTTTAATATTGTAAGTCCTTTTCAAATTAAATAATAACATGAAAAAATCAATATTGACAATTAAAATTTATTTGGAGATTTTTGAAATCAAAATTAGTTGGCAAATTAATTGATGTTGTAATCTTTTAAAAAAACCATATATTTTTTACATTGTTATTCAACGTTCCTTTCAAGGGCGAGTCAAGGCAGATGTTAATAAATTAAGAGAGATAACTCGATTCTATCTACTAATAATTCTCAATGTCGGCTTTTGGGTTGATCCAAAGGGCAAAGGTAATTGAGATAAGAAAGTCGGTCAAATTCCAATTGTTGACAGGTAATTCAGTACAATTCTATTTTATATATACTAGTCGGTGCCAGCCGATGCAAAGCAAATCTAATATATTTCGATACGTAAAATACATATTTACCTATTAGATATTGATATCTTAAAATATTGTAGGCTGGCACTGACTTCGAAAATATCTGATTAGGTATCTATTCTAAATAAAAACCTCAGTTTAGTTATTTTTTACATTTTAGAGCCTGGAAGCCGGTTTTTTTTTAAGATTTTATTTTTCCATTTTTAGTGTAGACGTATTAAGTAGATAATTTGTAAGAATTTATTTAAAAAATACATTTATTGTTGACTTTTTTTAAATCGCTCAACCGATTTAGCTAAACTTTATACGGGACCACTTGGGAAGTATACCCTTTGAAACAAAAAATAATTTTTCAAATCGGTTCAGGCGTCTTCGAGTAATCGGTGAACATACATAAAAAAAAGATTTCGACAAATTGAGAACCTTCTCCTTTTTGGAATTCGGTTAAAAAACATACACATATGCATATTTATGTGTACTTGTAAGTCTTAGTAAGATAATATCGGATACTTTTCAGTACCGCACGAAATACATATCCTCGCGAAATGTGAACATGAAAATATTGAAAATTTCTTATAAATAAAAATGAATGGCTAAATGTGTTGCTAAGCGCAAAACTCGAGAACGGCTGGACCGATCTGGCTATTTTTTTTTAAATATTCGTTGAAGTCCTGACTATTCGTTGAAGACTGGTAGTACTCATAGACGTTCAGTAAAAAAATATAATATTTTAATGCTGAATAAAATAATTTGAATTTGAATTTGAGTCCAAGGAAGGCTTTTATGAAGAAAAAAATTGAAAAAAATTCACGGAAAACTTTAAAAGTGATTTTAAAAAAAATGTGAATTTTTCTTTTTCCTTACTACTACAATTATAATTATTTTTTTATTGATTCGACACTTTCTCATTCTACGATATACATTTTGATTTTGTTTCTTTGTCCTTATTTGAAGTCGAAACAGAGTGGTGGATTAGCGTGATTTTTTTATGTGGAGATATGTAGTTGGAGGGCAAAAGAATGACATAGGCTTAACCGCGGGAGGTTATGGCATTCCCATGGAAAACCCGTTATAATACAACCCAAAATAACTCATCATATATATCATCGTATCTATTCTCATCGTATATATTGTCTATCTATTACATACTAACCGTAAAAACTTACTTAGGTATGAACCCGAGCAAACTGAGGTTTAGTCGCTAGTATTAAAATAAAACATAATATATATAGCACTTATTTATATATTTATTATTATACTTTTGGTGTAGATAACAGTGATTTAGATACATGTAACTGTCAGAATCGAACCTCTAATAAAAACAAAAATCAGTTTCTAACTAGGTCGCAGTTCGCTTGAAAGCAAACTAATAAAAACAGTTACTACGATTGAGTTACATCAAATGAAAAAGGGTTTACCGAAAAAGTTATTAAGTAAACCGGATTTATCTAGTTCCGCGAGTTCGTATACTCCGCTCTCGCTTAAGCTTCTCTCCTGAGAGTTTGCTAATAAAAGAACTTTTCAAATTAGGGACGGTAACTCTACAGATCATAATATAATAAAACTGGCACAATGCCACACTGAGGAATGGACAGTTTTATTGTTCGAAGCAAAATTTAATTCTTCATTTACAGAATTGAAAACGATTTACAGACAAGTACATGTTAATAATTCACATTACACAACATAATGCTCTATTAAGAATGTATTTTGAAATTAACCTCGTACATTAATGAAGAATCGTTAAAATTCCACATCAAAAAGACCTTTTAGAACAGCCATAAAAGGAGGTCATCAATTTATAATTACACGTTTAATTATTCACGACAAGACAAAGACAGATCATTTAATCGCTTTTCCACGTTTACTCATACGAAATAGGCTACAAACGAAAACGCACAGGTATAGCGTGTCCGTTTTATTAATACTAACAGAAGTAGCGATTTCGATTAGTCCTTGAAACGTATAGGTCACATTAGTTATGAATATATTTTTTATGGTATAGGCAAGACAAAAACAAAGTACTATATATATAACTATTTTCATAACACTTTCTTAGATTTACGCGATTTTATTTTCATCCAAAATTATCTTAACTCGCGTTTCCGCTCATATAGTTTATTTATGTATTTATAATAGCCCCGTCCCCAAAGGTCGTAACGCGATATTAAAACCTGAAAGTTTCCTCAATATGTTATAAAATGCAAAAAAAACTATTGAATAAAAACATAGGTTTAAGGAATATAAATTTTAGACAGTAAAAAAATTAAAACTGCTTTACTTTTTCTAATATATATCTCTTTTACAGACGAATTTTGTGAAGAGTACCCTCACAACTTGATCCCAACGCCCGGCTACTGGATCGAGTGCTCCCGCCAGAAGATAGCTACTGACACTATATGGGACGAGTCGGAATCGGAACATGACAGCGGTCCTGATACAGAAGGTTAGTTACACTATATACTATTACTACTTTGAGGTTAACCATTAATATAACAAATTCTACGAGGCCTTCAAAAGACTTTCTCCCTTTTTGCAACGTTGAGAAATGCATTTTTGCATACCACCAACATATATACAGGTAGTTATGCAGAGCAGAAGCAGACCACAACACCCAACCCAATTGGACCACCCTGCGTGGAATACCGCCTTCCCAAGTAGGCCACCTCCCAGTGTGTCCCTTGGCTTTAAAGCCGGCTGGACTGCCGGAACCTAATGTGACCCTCTTACCCCCCCCCCCCTCAACACCCCCAACTCCACCCAATAAGAAATCATATATGACATGATTAATTATAAGATTTATTTAAATACATACTTTGTATTCTCAAGCCACTTTTTCAGGCACCAAAACAAAAAAAGAAAATGTAATAACTTTAACGGTAGCTACATATCAATTCATATAAAATAGGTTTTAAAATTCAATCTAGATCAATAAATTACATAATCTTTAATCATTCTTGGCAAGCTGTTGAAATGACTTATAACTATCGCGTGACTGGCGCCAGGCGAGTCCGATTCAATTTGCGTGCAGTGTAAATTATAATGAAATATAGTTTAATGAAATGTCACTACAAGCCTTACAAGCAATAAATGTTAAAAGTGACTGGTTTCACATGGATCTAGGAATTCATTATTTTCTATGTAAAACAGAATGTATTACATACTTTAATTATCTGTCCACTATTTGAACTTTTTGAATTTATTTGAGGATCATTATTTCCTCCCGAACGATTTGGGTTACAGCGGTCAATCTCACTGAGACTAGCCAACTGCGCAAGAGATATTATAGTGCACAAGTGTACGTGTGTCTATTCCTAGACTCAAATTCGACACGACCGATGAGTGATCAGGCACAGAACCAATGACTTTACGTGCTCTCCAAGGCACGAGCTTGAAATACCGCCAGCTTCTCAACTGCAGGCTGTTACTGGGAATTTCTTAACCGAAATCCTCAATAACTAAACCTAGCCCGACCCGGGTCTCGAACCCAGCTACTACACCACCGAGGCAGTTATGAACGTATCTATTATATATCACAAGAATATCTTTAAAATATTTTTTTTTTGGTTATGAATAATTACTAATTAACGTTGCCCGCGGCTCGAGTTGATTTTTGTATAATAAGAATATCTCATCTTTATGTCCCTAACAATAAAAACAAAATTTTCATACCTTTACTCTCCTAATTCGGCCCTGTCTTAGAACCCATTTTCAGCTAACGTCTTCTACCTATAATTTACCTACCTGCCAATCAGCTTAATAAATAAAAGAATAAATATAAAAGAAAGCAGTTCCGGAAGCTTCTAAAAACGTAATATTTTAAACGATATACATATGTACATAGAAACTCATACGAATTAGGAGTTTCTAGTGCATTAATAAGATAAAAGTTAGGCACAACCTTATTATGTATAGTAGGATTAATATCGATTTTACCTAAATTATACTTCTAAGCGAACTCTTCATCAAGTCTTATTAAGAAGATAATAACATATTATTATCTTATATGCATTAATAGACGGGCAACTAAGACATCCTCTTATGAACTACCCAACTGAGTCATTAGTATCAAGTACATTATACATACATACATATCAAGTACATAGTAGTATTATATGTACATAAAAATATGTTTAGTATTTTATATTTTGAGCTATGATGGCTGTCTCATATATTATTTAAAAGAAATAACGTCAATATTATGTGACGTGGTCCATTTGCTGTATAAGTATTAATTAAATTCTACAATTCTAAGATCTTCAATAACTTTTACAAAAGCTTCGAAAATTATATTATAAGCCCATTAAAAGTCCTCGCCACAAAAGTCTTGTTGGTAGTTTACTTTACCTTTGAGTACTTTCCAACCAATTTCAATATGCGTATGCTTCAAATGCTAAAATAACTAAAAGTTATCGACAGTCGATGGACTATTTGCAATTGAATTTTCTTGTCAGTAATTTACTTTTTAATATTTATATTATTCTATTATTATTTAACCTTTAACATACATTTCTCAGAGATGAAATATTTTCCCGCACTAAAAAGTGTCATATATGTTTACCCGGATATTAGCTATCATCATTTATTTATATCAAATTTCATCAAAATCCCTCCTCCAGTAGTTTTTCCGTGATGCGGTCACAGACAGACAGAACGAAATTCTGAAAACTATAGATTCAGTCTCTGTATCGATAATAACGTCTATTTCAATAAGATTTTCCAATACAATATTTAATGTAACTACAGATTCGACTTAGTTACAATTATTATATAATTTTTTGTGTGGTAGGGCTGGAGAGTGACATAGGCTAATTTTTACCACGGGAGATTATCTCATTGCCACGGGAAATCACGTTATAACACAACCCATATCAACCTAACAACCAATATATACATAATTATATGTATATACACTATCTATTCCATACTAACAGTTCAAACATCTAGGGACGAACCCGAGCGAAGCGAGGATGAGCCGCTAGTTTACTATAAACGGTAAAGTATCGAAAAACATCCAAATTCGTTTGGTAATTATAAAAAACTTACTAAATATTTACATGCATAAAATGTATATATATATATATATATATATATATATATATTTTCATTTTTTGCAAAAAGAAAATATGAAATTAACGTAAATATACTTATATTTAAAAATGTTACTGTGAATAAGCTTTTATATCTCTGTACAGCGAACGGAGAATTCAATTTTCTGCTTCTTGTTAACGCTTTCTATGTTGCAGAAACATTTATTTTAGATTTTTAAACATTTATATTTGATTTTCTTGTAAAAAGTACTTTACGATATCTATGATTTGTTATTTTCTGTTTGCTTACATGGTATTTTGGTATTGTACGTGTATTTACATATATCTAGTCTAATTTGTTATATGTAGAAGATATGTAAATAGGTAAACCAAAAAATAATATTATTATTAGAAGGTTTCGATATCTATTATAATTTTTATAAAGATTTAATTTTATATTATTGTGCACCATTACTAGGCTACAATAACAAATACGGTAGGCTCGGTTCAGAACTAATATTACAGCCAAAAAAAATTTTTTTTACTGAATATATTAACCGCGGTGTTCTTAAAACATAGGAAGCGCCGCCAAGGAAGTAAACTGAATGAAACACAAGCTGTTGAGTCTTTACGTTCTAAGCCCTAAAATAAATAGTGAAAAGCCTAACTTTGCATTTTTGATATAATGTAGTTTTAATGAAACAAAAACAGTGTGTAAAGGTTTTCGTGACTGCAACCCCCGGCAAGGGTTAAAAAAATATTCTAAAATGTTTTTTTCGCTATTACTCGAAAACGGTAAAAATTAGACAAAAAAGTTTTAATAAAAATATGTAGAGCTTAAAATTTTACATAAAAAAAGTCTCATGACTTTTTTTCCTCCGGTCAAAATGAACCGAGTTGGGGAGGTTTTAAGTTTAAGGGATGAACGTAAATTTTTAAAAATGGTAGTTAGTAGAAACAAGCGAATTTTAATTTCCCATAAACTTAAAACCTCCATGACTCGGTTAATTTTGACCGAAGGAAAAAGTCATAAAACCTTTTTGATGGATAATTTTAAGCTCTACATATTTTTATCAAAACTTTTTTGTCTAACTTTTACCGTTTTTGAGTAATTGCGAAAAAATACTTTTGACTATTTTTTTTGAACCCTTGCCGGGGGTTGCGGACACTAAAACCCTTACACTTTTTTTGTATCATTAAAACTACATTATATCAAAAATGCAAAGTTGAGTGCCAACATTCTGATTTCAGACCTTATTGACTGGACTATAATATATTTAGCTTAAGAATAATAAAAAGTAAATATTAAATGAAACTTTATCAAAAACGATAATACTTACTCATCTGCTTTTTCAACATTCAGGCCTACCTAATAAAAAAGTTATTACCTAATAAAAATATATTAGGTATTAGCTATTATAATAAAAATCATAATATATGTCTGTGTATCAAATCAAACTACTCTTATTACGATTTGTTTTATTATTATTGCTATCATGTAACATTTTTATCAGTAATATTAGACAAAAAATAAGATTTCTCCAAATATTACTTTATAATATTCAAGATTGATTAAGGCATCAAAAATGATAAATATGTATGCCAAAACCCCATCCGTCATGTGAAAATATGGATTATGAGAGCAATACTCGTATAAGGTAAAAGAATGACAATAAGAAATAAGATTTTATTATTTCCGAAAATATAATTGTATTATTTTAGTTTTAACGTACGTAAAATATAACGATTATAACAAAACACAAGTACGAGTCTTAAACGAAGCAAAATATTTATTTATTTATGAATATGTTTTTAGCGAAAGTATAATTTCCTCTGTTTAAATTAAACAAAAACGCAGCATTTTCAACCAATGCATAATACAAATAAAAGTAAGCTGCAAAAAGTGAGGAAGCGTTGTGATTTATCTTTACATTTTGTAGGGAAACAGTCTTTTAATAGTGTAATGTTAATTACTTACTTGGCTAGATAGTACCGTTATTTGGTGATTGCTTAAAATAGGAAGTACCCTAAGAAAAAATCGAATGTTTTGAAAATTGGTATTATGCTGTCTGTTTGTAGCCGATAATCTCCGAAACGGATAAACAAAGTTTATCTTTCACTGAAGGGTAGGATACTAAACGATTTCTAATCTTTATCTTAAGAAAGAATACAGTTTACCGCGAGATAGAAAATAGAAGAAAAACTACTTAAAAGTCTAATTTTCTTAACACGTTAGATTTCGATGAGTCGTAATAATATTATAATTAAAAAATTGTAATTATAATTTATCGAAGCCTTAGAAAAACACATTATTCATGTAGTTGTCTTAAAAATCTTGTAAAAATATTCAATCTTAATAATAAAGAAACACCAGCTCTTAAATGTTTCGGAACAAACACGGATGACTAATGATTTC